GGCCTTTGGGCTCAAGAACTCCGGCGCCACCTACACAAGGATGGTAGCCCGGATTTTTAGAGCAGTCTTACGGAAGAGGTAGTCATCACTCTCGGTCCAGGGCTCGTCCTCTTCGTCCGAGCTCAGGATGGGGGGCTGCCTTTCGGACAGAGGAAGTTTCAACTCCTCCTCGGGGTCCTTCATCATCCGGGGAAGGCCGATACCCCTGGGCTTCAAGTTCTTTACGCGACGGCGGAGGCGGCGGTAAACCAACATCTGCATACGCCTCTGACCGAGGTCGTACCAGACTTCGAACTCCTGCTTGAGGCAAGCCCGGCCAGCTTCCTCCTGAGACCACGCCTCGAAGCGCTCCGCCACGACGTTAAAAGTCCAATCGCGTCGGGCCTCGTCCTTCCAACCCTCGGCCATAAAGAGCTCAATGGCTTTATCAGCAGCTGCAATCGCATCAGCCTCTAGCTTCGCAGCTCTTTCCTCTGCTAGCCGACGGGCAGCCGCTTCTTCGTCCAACTGAACCTTGAGGCGCTTCGCCTCGTCTTCGACAGCTACGGCTTTCTTCTCAGCCGCATCGGCCCTCTCCTTCAAGGAATCAATCTCAGTCCGCAGCCGTTCCAATTGGGAAAGCGCCTCGTCAGCGGAGGCGGCTTTCGTCTCAGCTTCGTGAAGGCGAGCAAGCTCCTCGTCCTGCCGCCGCTGCTGCTCCATGAGCATGAAGGCACCCTGCAGAAACATGTAACATTAGAAAAAGAAGGAATACAAAAGATTACTAAGTACAAGAGTCGGGACTCACCTGGACGACGTAGTCCAGCCCGCCGTCGAAGAGACGCACATCCTTGCTCTGCCGACGCAGATACTCCCTATCAGCATCAGGAATGGCCTGGAATAGGACGTCGTGCCCAGAAACCTTCTCGTTAAATAAACCGCCCTTCGGCGGATACCGCACCGTCACCTCATAAAGACCGGAGGTCAGGTCTCGGTCAGCACAGGCACTCTTCTTTGCAGCAGCCCCGGACTTAGCAGAAACGAGGGCGGACGAGGCGACGTTCAACGTCAGATCCTCGATGATATGCACATCAGAGGCAGCTCCCCCTTGGACCGACGCCTGCGTGTCGACCAAAACAGCGTCATTGGGGGGAGGGTTCGGCTTCGTCTTCTTGGCGCCTTCAGCCGGCACCAGACCCGTCTTAGTAAGAGTACGCTGGCCCTCAACAGCCTTCTTCCTCTTCACCACCGGCTTTTTTGCCGCATCAGCAATACTCTTAGAGCCGTCGCCAGAACCTTTGGACGCCTCGGCTCGCTGGGCAGCTTCCATCTCCTTAGCAACCAGCTTTTTGGCCTGGGCCATGAACATTTTGCGACTCATCTCGTAACCTGCAAAGGACGACACCAAGGAAAAAAGGGGGGGATTAGACACAAAAAATACGAAGAACAAAAAGATTCAAAGGTAAGTGTCAACCTTCGGCCTCGGCCGGAATCCCAACAAGTGGCCCATCGGCCTGTTCAAAAGAGCCAGAGATCCTCGGCCACAATCCACAATCTGGGTCGCCAGGAATGTAATACCGCATCATCCCGAGAGCCGCGATCTTGAACTCAGTGATGTACGTGTTCACACTCCTCGGCCCACCTTTTAGGAATGCCTCAACTTGGGCATCGAGCTCAGCGCTTCGCGGCGGATTATGCAGGCTAAAATTACCATTATGCCCTTGCGAAGGAAAGAAAACCCCATCGGCCAACTTCACGAATACAAACTTCGCCTTCCACCCATGGATAGACGAAGGGAGGTCTTTGAAAGATTTCTTCTCCGGGAGTTGCTGAAGCGTAGCGTAACCAGCACAATTCTTATGGCTCCCTCGGCCGATCCGGAACAAATTGGTAAAAAGAGCCGTCGTGGGCTCAAAGCCGAGCTCGTCGCACCGGATGAGGAACCCGACGATCAGCGAGAAACTATTCGGCGTCAAGAGCGCCGGAGGAAGATCCACCATATTCAGGTACTCAATCACAAAAGGGGGCAACGGGAATCGTAGTCCTTGCGAGAACCCCATCGGATAAACCCCGAAGTACCCAGGAGGAGGATTCAGAACATGGTCCGTCGGCCTCGGCTCCCTCACCTTTCCATAAGGACCAACATACAGCTGAGCCAAATGGTACTCACCCCGGGTGCTTTCGGGCCTTATGATATACAGATTTGTTAAGTCCAACTGGGACAGCCCGCCAGCCGCGGCCTTCCTCCGACGCGAGCCGCGTTTCTTGGCGACTTTAGAAGACGACGCCCCACCTGGCACGGATGAAATTGGCGGAGGGCAGGGGATGGCGGCCGAAGAAGCATCATCCGCTTCATCCCCCCGAAGTTTGGGTTCAGAGCTCGCCTCGTCCTCGCCTGATGATTGGGAACCCGCATCATCAATCAAACGCTCCTCGTCCTGAGAGGTGCGGTAATCAGCCGTATTCTCCATCTCCGTTTCAAACGCTCGAACTATCTCAAGATTCACTCCAGGAGACGGGTCCTCGTCGTCAAAGGGCCAGTCCGACTCGTCCAAAGAGGCTGTTAAATTAAGAGGGGAGGGGACGCTACGGCCGTCAGGGAACGGCATAACAACTATTGCTACGTCCTAAGGGTTGTTCGAGGATCAAAGTGATTTTCCCTAGAAACACTAGATCTAACCCCCTAGGAAGCAAAGTATAAGAAAAAAAAGAACAATTCAAGAACCTAACCTTGAAAGTTTTTGAAGGTCCGAAGAAAACTTGAAGATTTCTGGAAAGCACTTTATCTCTCTAGAAATCTCAGCAGCACTTCAACTCTAGCAAACGCAAATGAGGAGGCGGCTTCGGAATAGGGGGGTATTTATAGAAAACTTCCAAACGGTCACTACACGTGGCGCCATCCCAATGGCTCCACCAACGGCCACCTCTCTTCCAACCAATCAAGGGGCCCCCAATGCAAAATTACTCATGGAAGTATCCCCTACGGCAAAACTTGAACTCAAAAAAAGCAAGGCACCGGCCGAGTACCGCTGCGGCCCAATTACTACAAAACTCCAAAGGGGAACGCATCGGCCTAAACTCAACACCCTAAACAACCCAAGGAACCTTAAAAGACCGCTACGGCCGCTTGTGCGTCCATCGTCGATGATAACCCTGGCATTGCGGCCTTCGTCCAAGGGTTCTCCCACAGGGTTACCTTGGCAGGTTTGCCTAAGGGTTGGAGTCGCGACTAACGCACAGGTGCCGAAACGGCTCATCACTCCCTTGTGCCTCAGATACTCTTCGGCCAAAGGAGTGGGGGACTGGGGGACTGTATCGGCCACAAGAAGAGAAAGCGTAACGGCCTTAATATAAAAAGGGTGCGCTACGGCTCACCAGCAACAAAAGACGGACAAGTCACCGCAGATAAGCATTAAGAGTCGCATCAGCTACCTCAATAGCATCGCGAGTCGCGTCGGCCGCAAAACCCGAAATAAAAAGAAACTCACCATGCGAGACCTAACACGCAACGGCAGCGTACACTGAGAGGACCGCATCGTCTCACCATAACAAAAACTCACAAATCAAAATGCCTCGACTGCATAACAAATCAAAGGTGCGCATCGCATCGTCTACATAAACAGAATCAACCATCTTCATCTCAATAGGTCGTCGCTACGGCCAGAAGGATAGATGGGGGCTCTTCAACCCCAACAAGATGGCAATAAAAGCACGCCAACTTGTCCACACCAAAATTCATCACAGCTACAAAAAAGAAGGTGCATCGCCTCGTCTTCGAAGGCACTTCCACAGAGTGTGCAACGGCCCGCATCAAGGCAATGGGTTCCCAAAGCACGCTTCATCTACATCAAATAAGGGAACCGCTTCATCCAAAATCAAAACAGGAACTCCTCGGCCATCAAACGCCTTAGACTCACGCAACGGCCAGCCAGAAAGGAACAAGTACTCCCTTTCGCTTCGGCTTCACCTCAGCTCAGAGAGTGGGGGACTCCTGATAGAGTATATGGGCCTGGACCCCATGGCCCACATACTCAACGGCCCAAAAGACACCAGCGGGACACCCGCATTGTCCAGAGGCACGTAGCGTCCAAGAGAGAAGATATCGCCTGATTTCTATGGACCGCATCGTCCACGGACCGCGTCGTCCATGGACCGCATCATCCGTGGACCGCTTCGTCCGGACTTCGTCCGGGCAGAATGTATTTTCCTATTTTTTGTACTAAGTGTTGTACTCAGCCCATTAGTGGCCTTATTCGCCCAAAGAAGGCATGATTATTGTAATGGGCCTCCTAAGCCCAAGGCTAGGGGCCCAAATCCACATTTTTACCTATAAATAGACCCCAAGGGGCTAATTATAGGGGATTCTAAGTTGAGAAATATAATTACTCACTTTCTCTCTCTAGCTCTCACTTCTCTCTAGAATTAATACTCTATCATGACTGCCTTCCCAATTTAATTTTTAGCTGAAATTTGGTACGAATAAACTAGACTTAATGAAGAAGATTTTCAAAAAAAATCATGAAAAAATTTCACCGGGAATCGCCCCAATTGGCGACAACCGGACAAAGCCTCCCATATAAGGGGTGAATTGCACTTTTTAAGTTAGTTTGAGGAACGAATCCTTAGCCAATAAACTAAGAGTCCCGCTCTTGTCCAGTCGGCCTGACGGGAACCGCCGTCCGGCCGAGGGCATTTCGAACACTTTCCGATCGAATTTTTTTATGAAATTTTTTGAGCATGTTTTTCATCAAGTATAGTTTATCCATACCAAATTTCAGTTCAAAATTCGATCGGTAAGACATTCAAATAATTTTTTGAAGTTGACTGCATCAAAATATACATATAAAAACGCAGTCAACTTCAAAAAATGATTTGAATGCCTTCCCGATCGAATTTTGAGCTGAAATTTGGTATGGATAAACTAGAATTGATGAAAAACATGCTCAAAAAATTTCATCAAAAAATTCAATCGAGAAGTGCCCGAAATGTCCTCGGCCGGACGGCGGTTCCCGTCAGGCCGGCTGGACATAAGTTTTCTCATAAACTAAATCAATTCTCAATAAGTAAAATAATTAAAAGACCTAACTAAAGCCTGTTGCGTGAGTGCGTCGTCTACTTTTCTACCATCGTACTCGTTTCACGCCGTGTCGCCGTCTACATACTCGTTTCACGCCGTATCCTCCCCCTACAGCCGGCCCTGCGGCAACAATGGAGCCCCAACCCACAGTTCAGACCATGCCACCATGTTGGAGCAAAATCGTACAGCAAAAGCCGCCGCCGCAGCAAAACAGCCTGCTTCATTTAGCCGTTGCGCAGCGGCCCCCTAATCGGGAGTTGGTGGGGGATTGTAGTTCCACAAAGGGACTAGCTGTGGCGGTTGTGGACGCTAACGCCATCATTCAGGGAGGTCAAAACCTAGCGCATTATGCCAACCGCTTCGTGTCTGTACCGGAGGTCTTGTGCGAAATTAGGGATCCTACCTCTCGTCACTCTCTCAACTTCCTTCCTTTCACTGTAGACACAATGGAACCATCACCCGATTCACTGAAGAAAGGTCTGTATATTACAATTGCATCTATGAGTCACACACATTTATTTCTTTTCATTCCATAGCCTGTACCGGCTGTACGGCTGTACTACACTGTAAAATGCATGCTTGTGAATCCTATCCATCATTATTGATACAGGGAAGCTGCTTTTGTTGAGAACATTATGATTTTTATGTTCCGGAAGTTGCTTTAATGACATACTAGTAATTTATATGCCCTCATCCTATTAATGGATTGTTAAATAATTAAGGACTTTAAAGGAGTGTTTGGCATTGCTTAAAAAAAGCACTTTTCAGCTTTTGGCTTAAAAAAAGTTGAAAAGAGTGTTTTCAAATGACAGCTTCTGCTTAAATTAATCACTTTCTATTACACAAAAAGTACTTATTTTATCAAACACTACCAACTTTTACTTTTTCAGAATCACTTTTTTCTCAAACACTACCAACTTTTACTATTAATCACTTTTCTCAAAATCACTTTAAAAAATCACTTTTTTAAAGTTGAAGCAATTGCAAACACTCCCTAAGTGAAATAGAAATATGAATGTAACTGTGCACACACTTTTTGAGGAATAAAATGATTGATAACTCAGCTTGCGAATATGAAAGTAGATGTTGCTGACCCTCTTATATAACTATTTTGATGTCTTATTATAGTAACCGTATATAAAATTTGGTTGGAATAAAGGATTAATAGAAGTGTTGCACTTGTCTATTTGTATGTGTATGTTTTGAAACTATCAGGGTGGACTTAATTTTGTATAAAAACCTTTGAGTTTGTTGTTGCTACTTGCTACTTGCTACTTAGCAACTTGCTATTACCACGTCTAGACTAAACACTGGTGTTATAACCGTTTGTCTGTTAGTTCTATAACCTATTAACTCATAATAAATTGTTAAAAGTATCTTAGGGTGTGTTTGGTTCGAGGTGAGGGAATTAAATCACCCCTGTTTGTTATTTGAAGTATTATTAATGGTGGGGGGAAAGTGTCTTCTTTCTTCCCTACCCTGCCCTTAAATTTGTCCTGTCCAAATCGAATGAAAGATCTCCTCACTCCTTCTCTCCCCTTCCTCCCTTCAAAACAAATATACCCTTATCATTGTCTATTCACAGTTATTAGCTTTGCAAGGGCAACTGGAGACTTGCAGACACTATCAGATGTGGATCTTAAGCTTCTTGCTTTGACATACACATTGGAGGCTCAAAATCATGGAACCACACATCTTAGGGGTTGTCCACCTCCAATCCACACAGTCAAGGTGAGAAAACTGCCCGAGAAGGACCTGCCTGGGTGGGGTTCCAATGTTTCCAATCAGGAAGAATGGGAAGCACTTGAAAATGCAGTTGAGTCAAATACTACCTCCAGAATTCTTCCCTTAAATATTTTTACCCCTACTGCACCCACTGATAAAAAAAGTACCGATGGCTCATCAACAGTCATAAATGATGATATGTCTGAATCTAAGAAGCCTACAAGATGCTTGGCTGAAATGAAGGAGATAATGATTAAAGGTAAGAAGATGGTGGCCGATGGGATTGATGCTTCACAGGGACAATTTGATGATGATAATGCTAGTGATTGGCTACCTGCAGTTAGTCGAAGCACTCATAGGAAGTATCTACGACGAAAGGCTAGAAAAGATCACCATCACATACCATCTGAAAGTGAAGCTGTTGCTGGATCCTCCACTGAGATTATTAGAGAAGATGTTACAAAAGATATTTCTACCATTTTAAATGAAATGAGACTGAACGAGGATAAGTCTTTAGAGTGTGATGAAACCAAGAGTTCTGATGCTGGCAATAGTAACTTAAAGAAGGATTTTGTGGAATTAGCATATGAAGATGCTGATGATGACTTTGATAAGGGAGTGGAGATTGTAGAAATAGCTAGTCAGAGCTGTGAAGACATTGATGATCGCAGCAGTGAACAGAGTTGGTCACTCAGATCCTTATCCGAGTCAATGGTTGCTTGTATAACTAGTGATTTTGCAATGCAAAATGTGATACTTCAGATGGGTTTGCGGCTTATAGCACCTGGTGGGATGCAGATTCGTGAGTTACACAGGTATGTATGTGTGGAGTTTTTTTTATTGTTATTACGTAGTATTTTTTAATACTTTAACCATATATCTCATAATAGTTGAGCAGTAACTTGTGATTTGCTAGTAAAAAGTGATACAACAAAAACAACATCCAAGCCTTAGTCCCAAAAGATATTGGGGCTAGTAAAAAGTGATACTATTAGAAAATATATTTTTTTGATATATAATGCATTCTAAAACAAAAAAACACAAACAGTCACAGTGCATAACATAATCATAATAATAGTAGTACCTCTACTGCTCTACTTGCAGAATACCAGTAACAAGCTCACACATGAAAGATATTTCAGAAACTTATTATCAAGTAAGTCTAATGCAGCTAGTCACTTGGATGTCAAAGCTTAATACATTAAATTTTATGAAGTTTTCATTCTCAATTCTTAATATTGTTCGCTAACTTCACTGAAATTTGTTTCTTAAAAATTATTGGACATAACCGATATGAGAAATACCATTTTTTTGTTAGTTACAATAGAAATAATTTGGATAGAAATAAAACAGCGTAATTTCAGGTAAAAATGGGGCAAAGAAATGAAAATTTTGGATATGTAAAACCATTCAAACTGGTTCAAGCCATATTTCTCTATTACTGAAACCCAGACCAGTAAACTTGCTCTAACCAATTTTCCTCAATTATTGAAACCCAGACCACTTAATTTGCTCTAAAGGAGAAGTCGTTTAGGAGATTAAACTAAAGAGTCACACAAAAGCTTATAACAAACTAGATATAATTTTAATTGACAGTCAAATGTCCGCTTTTTGTGAGAAGCATGCCAAAGATACGCTTTTGCACTTCACTCAGTAAAATATATTACTATATTTTTTTAAAAATAAATATGAACCTATCTACATTTCTTATACAATCTTAAAACTATTGTGTTTTTTTTTTATATATATGTAATGTTTTTACATACTAGGGAAGTATAAAAATATGCATTATTATATTGATTATTGACAATGCATGAATCAATAATACATAATAACATTTAGAGCCCTTTTGATAACACTGTTATTCGGCTTATTAGGCTTATCACCCAACCTTTTCACCAAACACGTAACTTTTGATTTCGCGCTCTGAAATGTGTAATAATAAGAAAAAGTAAGGTTGAAGTTACTTTTCTAACTGTTTCAGTTGAAGTCACTTTTCTGACTATTTTAGTTGAAGTTACCGTAGAGGATCATTTTAGCTATTTTACATATAATTTTTTCTTTATTTTATTAATAAAATATATTTTGAATTTTTTTTCATAAATCATCAAAATAAGCCAATATAGCCACTTAAGTTAGAACTTCATAAATTTCAACAGGATTAGCCGATTTCAGTGTTACCAAACGGGCTCTTAACTTACTAGTTATATATAGTAATGATTTAGAGGCCGTTTGACAACATTGTTTTTCGGCTTATCAGGCTTATCAACCATCTTTTTCACCAAACACGAAAGTTTTGCTTTCACGCGCTGAATTGTGTAATGAGCAGAAAAAGCAAGGTTGGAATTACTTTTCTGGCTGTATTGGTTGAAGTTACTGTAGATGACCATTTTAGCTATTTTTACATATCTTTTTTTCTTTATTTTATTAACAAAATATATTTCAAAAATAATTTTTTCTTAAATCACCAGAATCAGCCACTTCAGCCCGAACTTCATAAATTTCCGCAGAATCAGCTAAAACAGCTGATTTTTGTGCTACCAAACAGGCTCTTAAACAGTATAGTAATGCTTTTGGAAAATTTATACATAACTTGACCAATTGGGAGATCGGAAAGTTGTTCGTCATGGCATGCTGTCGACTAAGGACTGATTCCATGGGCGCTAATTTTGTACAATGTCTGTTAATTTCCGGAAATTAATCGCGTTTCAGGGGTTTGGACCGTCCTGGGTCCGGGTCTGAGCAGACTTTGGGTTTTTGCAGGTTTGGCTGGATTTACGGGTTGATATTCAACTGGACCGGGTTGGATGCCCGGTTGCCGGTTTCTAGGTCGACCTGCCCGGTCTGGTTCTGTTAATCTAGCATACAATGAGTGAAAAAATTTCTTCGCATTTTTCAGGTGGGTACTAAAATGTCATGCTTGCTATAAGGTGACCACAGAAATTGGTAGGATCTTCTGCCCCAGTTGTGGCAATGGGGGTACACTACGCAAAGTGGCTGTTACAGTGGGAGAAAATGGTATAGTTATTGCAGCAAGAAGACCACGTGTATCTTTGCGTGGGACTATAGTGAGAATCTTAAGCTTTTCTTACATATTCTACAAATTTGTTGAAGTTGGTTATTTGGGAAACTAACTGCAGCTATTGATATTTGTCTCTTTCCTCCATAATCTAATCTAAAAGCTGTTACTGTAAAGTGATATTTGAACCTTAATCTGTATGTCTTGCCTATATAACATGCTCTAATCTGTTGCGGTAGTTGAATTAATATCTAATTGTTTCTGTAGTATGAAATTCATCTAAATCATATTATTGAAATGGAAAAATACTTTATGCCTAGTCGTGTTTGTGGTTATTATCTGTGTGGTTACTAGAAAAAACAGATAGTGATAGTCATCCTGTTTGTACTTGTTATGAATTGCATGTTGTTTTATTTCTTGTGCAGTTTTCACTACCCCTGCCCCAAGGAGGTAGAGATGGCATTTCCAAGAACCCTGTTTTACGTGAGGATCAGCTTCCACAGAAGATTCTGTACCCCAAAACAAAGAAGAAAAGCAAGCAGGTCATTTGGGAAAAGGCTTTTTTTTGCATGCATGAGAACTTTGATTTTTCAGAATCTCCCTCGCATTTTTTTCCTGTTATTTATGAGTTTATCCCTTCCTGCCCCTCCAAATACTCCGGAGTATAATTCTTTGAACGCTTTTTGTACCCAATAAAAATGCGGTTCGTTCAAGCAAAGCTCATTTTTATGTAATGGATCAAAATTTTGTCAAAAAGAGTTATTAACAAGTTACATATGATAACTTTGGTTAAACTGACTGACGAAAATTAAAAGTAAAGCTAATGATTTATGATTGTTAATTACAAAATTTAAAAGCTATACTCTTTTTGATGCAGTTGGTTGGTACTTGGTATTCACTTATTCCACAAATCTGGCCATCTGTTTTTAGCTGTTCTTTATCACTTTCTAATTGCTGTAACAATTTTATTGCAGGGAGATGATATATTTACTACTCAAGACAACATATTTGTCCACCATACCGATAAAAAGGCTCCCTTGCAGCCTCCTATCAGGAAAGCACTTGCCGTTTTCAGTGGAAGGAGAAATCCCAATGATAATCATTATTCTCGTGCTATTCATTAAAACCTTAGCCATGGATCAAGCATAATTCTTGGTGTGTTATGACCAATATTCCATATCGCGTAGCACCACAATTTTGCTATTCCATGATGGTTGTCCTAAGTTTAGTGTATGCATAAAAACTGCGGTGTTTTGAGTTTTTCTTTACCTATACAGTTATACTCTTTACCTATGAACAAATTTCCTATTTGGGAAGAGATAAATTATCCTACATTCCTACTTAGCCTTTGGAATGTGTTATCTAAATTTCAAGTGCATGCGTTGAGTTTTTCTTTACCTATACAGTTATACTCTTTACCTATGAACAAATTTCCTATTTGGGAAGAGATAAATTATCCTACTTAGCCTTTGGAATGTGTTATCTAAATTTCAAGTGCATGCGTACTTCACAGGCTACTAAGCCGTGTTTATCAGCTTTTTAAGACTTGCGTTATGAAGCGGATGTGTAAAATAAGTAGTGTTATAAGTTTACATTTACTTAATAGGATTTAAAACACCGTTTAATATTAAAATGTCAAAAATAATCTTATACATATATTCACACATAAACATTCATGTACATATAATGGGGTACCTGTATGTGTATCCATATAATGGGGTACTTGCATCCTACCTTACCCCATACTCCTAGAATGGCCTTACCCTTGCCCCTACTCTCCTACCACCCCGTATGTGATTCCATACCACTGTCACCTACCTGTTACTCCCTCTACCCCTACCCTACCTTCAACTCCAACACCTTACTCCCAATTCCAATCCTACACCAACCCTTACCACCCCTAATCAGTGCCTACCCCTACCCCCACTACGACCATACCGGCATACCGCTACCACGACCATGCCGCTACCACGACCATACCCCCTACATCCTACCCCCCACAGCCCCACTACACGTAACTTTTTGCTTTCGCAGACTGAATTATATAATAAACAAAAAAGTAAGCTTTGAATTACTTTTCAGGCTTTGTTGGCTGAAGTTAGTGTAGATGACTATTTTATTTATTTTTACATAAATCCTTTTCTTTATTTTACTAATAAAATATATTTTGAAAAATAATTTTTTCTTAAATCGGTAGAATTAGCCAATGCAATCATTTCTGTCAGAACTTCATAAATTTTAGAAGAATCACTCTACTAAACGGGCTCTATGAGAAAAAATTATACGGAGTACTCCGTATTGTAAATTTGTAACTCCATAGTATTTTAACATATATTACAGAGTATTACAGCCACCACTCATGTCACTACAACCACCGCCCGTGTCACTGCGGCCACCGCCCGTGTCACTGCGGCCACCGCCCGTGTCACTGCGGCCACCGTCCGTGTCACTGCGGCCACCGCCCGTGTCACTGCGGCCACCGCCCGTGTCACTGCGGCCACCGCCCGTGTCACTGCGGCCACTGCCCGTGTCACTGTGGTCGTTTTCGTTTAGTGACGCGGCCCGCCTTAGTCACGGTGGCCACAGCCGGCCGCCACAATGGCGGTTGTCCCTGCAACACCATTGCCCTGTCCCACCACCATCACCAGAGCCATGCACTACCCCATCACTCCAGCCTATCCCTGCCCACATCACCCCATACCTGCCTTATCATTTCAGCCTTGCCCCACCCTATCAGCCTAGCCACACCCCACCCCCACAAGCTTTGCCCTAAACCACCGGACCTGCCCCAGGCTCTCAGCCCCAACCCCAATCGGCAGCACCCAGCCCTCAGCTCCAATCCAACCCCAACCGGCAGCCCCAGCCCCCAATCGATAGTCCCCAAACCTAGCCCCCAACCGCCATCCCACAACCTCCGCCAGTAACCCTAGTTGCTAGCCCATTTTTGCCGCCCTGAGATCCAAATCGCACGCTGTCAAAACCTAGCCAACCGTATACGTGAAGATCGTCGGCAACAGACTATTAGAAGTAGATGTAGAGCTCGAGAGAATAGAAGAAGTAACTTTAGTGATGGAGGTGCGGCAGTCGAACGGTGGCGATGATGGAGGCGCTGCGGCGATAACTTTGCGGCGATGGTGGTTCGGCTCTGGCGTGCAGCAATGGAGGTGCGGCTCTGGCTTGCCGCGACGGAGATATGGCTCTGATTTACAGGGTTTGAGGTGCGGCGATGGAGGCTCTGTTTTGCGTAGATCTCAAATGGGAGATCTCCAATTGGGCAGAGTGGCAGACTTGTGCAAAGAGGAAAGGCGTAGGGAGAGGCGCGTATAGTAGGTCACTTTTTTGGGAAAAGATAAAGTGCTCATATTTTTTAGTTTAGAAACTTGGAGAGTAATATTGGTGCCATTGTTTCTTAAAATATACGGAGTAAGATTTAATGTGATACAATTTTCGAAAAAAAAAAGATTTAATGTGATACACTTATAAATGTGAAATGTGTTTATTTGGTTGAGATAAAATTATGTTGTACATGTTTTTTTCTTCATTTTACGAATAGACATTGGATTTCGTATTGTAATAACTAAAAAAGAACATGGGATTAAGAATTTTTTAATAAGATTTTGTTAAAATACATGATAGAGTATATGGGCCTGGACCCCATGGCCCACATACTCAAGTCAACGATGACCAGAAGAACATCCACGTGGCCCCCTTCGGCCAGTGGGTCCGCATCGGCCAGAAACCGAACCGACCCAGGAAGCACGCCTGGACTCCCGGTGCCGCATCGGCCCATGGATCGCATCGGCCATGAGACCGCATCGGCCAAAAGGCACCGCATCGGCCAGATTTCGCCCTGGCAGAATGCATATCTCTACTTTATTTACTAAGTATTGTACTCAGCCCATTAGTGGCCTTATTTCGCCCAAAGAAGGCATGATTATTGTAATGGGCCTCCTAAGCCCGTGGCTAGGAGCCCAAATCAACATTTTTACCTATAATTACTCATAGGGGGTTGAGAAATATAATTACCCACTTTCTCTCTCTAGCTCTCACTTCTCTCTAGAATTAATACTCTATCAATACATAAAAGCGTTGGTATGAAAATATGGAAATAATTTTGGGTAAACTAATTTGGAATTATAATCTGCCCAAATGAATTTTCTATACGGAGCAAATCCAAGCCCCCATATCAAATATCAACTCTTGAAAAAGTAATGAAGTGATAGTGATACGTTTGTAATTTCCGTATGTTTATTTACGTTTTTAGTTAGTTTTTATTGTTTAATATTTCGGAAGTTACACACTTTCGGTGTAATAGTTTAGTTTTTTAAATTCTTGTAATTTGTTTAGATTAGGTTTATTCTGAGCTTAAACAGGGCCGAGATCAATCAAATGATCAATGGTGAAGGAAGGTGCAAGAGTACAAGACAAAAAGAAGTAAAGTTCCTGATTTTGACCTGTACTCGGTCGAGTACACCTTATACTCGATCGAGTACCAATACTGATTTTCAAGGATTTGATCCGGGAACAAAGGAACATGCAGGAGAAGATTTTCCCACGATCAAGTGTCTATACCCGATCGGGTACACCGACATACTCGATCGGGTATAGCTATAAATTATACCCGAACATCGATCGAGTATGGATCGAATTCGAAGTTCTACACATACTCGATCGAGTATATGTACATACTCGATCGAGTACTCGACCTGCACCTCAAAAAGCCTATAAATACACCTCCTTTCCTTCACTTTTAGATTACCAATTCCTATATACTTCTAAGCTCAGTTTAGACAAGTTCTTTCTTTATATTTTTATCATGTTTAGTCTCCAAATGAGGAGCTAAACTCTTCCATCTTGGTTTTGCTACTTTGAAGCTTAATGATTTGTAAGTTGTGAGTTATTTTCTTTAATCCTCTTCCTTGAATATTAATTACTTCCTATTCATATCCCATATTAATATATTGAGCATTACTTAAAGTATCAACTAGTCTTGTTCTATATATTAATTATTACTAGAATCAATCGGTTAATACGCTTGTTATTAATTCGGTTCTTTCAATGGTAGTAAACTTGGATTGCTAATACATGCTTTTCATGGTTAATAATCTAAGGGGAATTAATTATATTGATTAAACCAATAAACCGCTTGTGTGGAGGTTTATCAATCTCAATCGTTTTCATCTTAAGCTTATTGCTACTATCAAGTTAATATACGGCGCTTGTTCTATATTGACTCGATAGTAAGTTTTGTTAATGAACGCTTCTCGTTATTAATAACTACCCTCGATGAACTGGATATACTCCTCGATTGAGTGTTCGAGAGGAAGATAGTTAAAGATATAACCGGGATCGACGAACATTTCATTAAGTGGATAAAAGCAAAGCCAAGTCTTCTTCTCATTAATTAAACCACATAACTCGTTCATCTTCGTGTTCAATTTAATCATACAATCAAACCCTTCCCCCTTTTTACTTATTGGTTTATAAAAAGAGAAGTATTCCTTTCCTTGCGGATACGAACCTTACTTCAATATACTACGTATATTTGTTGTATTGTATTATTTATTTTGAGTGCACACCACGACAAGTGCACGTCAAATTTGGCGCCGTTGCCGGGGAAAGGCAATTATTTTTCTTTTTATTTTATCTCAAGAAAAAAAAGAAAAAAAATAATTAACCAAAAATATAAAGAGTTCTTATTTTTCTATTTCTGAGCTTTGTGAAGTATATGGTCCGATATCGTTCTATAAACGAAATCACTTATCAAGCAAACCCCGAAATAGAACAAGCCTTCGAGAGGTTGAGAAATTTAATTCCGCACATACCCTCGGAGGAAACCTCAAACGCTAGCTCCAGTTCTAGCGAATCTGAAGAGCCAATTACTATGGCTCAAGAAACAAGAACCTTGAGGGAGCTCACAGCTCCGAACTTGAATCAACAACCGTTATGTATTACTTTCCCTACACTCAACGAGGGTAATACATTTGAGCTAAAATCTGGGCTCATTCATCTTTTGCCATCCTTCCATGGCCTAAGAGGAGAGGATCCGAATAAACACCTCTCGGAATTCCATGTTGTGTGCACAAGCATGTGCCCTAATGGAGTCACCGAGGAGCAAATCAAACTGAGGGCCTTTCCATTCTCCCTCAAAGATACCACAAAAGATTGGCTATTCTATCTTCCTTCGGGAAGTATAGATACATGGGCGGCCATGAAGAAAGCTTTCCTCGAAAGGTACTATCCGGCCTCTGTCTCCTCATCTCTAAAAAAGCAAATAAGCAATGTGGAGCAAAAAGATGATGAATCGTTCTATGAATATTGGGAACGATTCAAGAAACTTTGTGCAAGCTGCCCGTATCATGGCTATTCGGAGCAGGACCTCATCCTATACTTTTATGATGGTCTTTGCAATGATGATAGACGGATGATTAATGCCGCATGTGGAGGAGGAAT